ATAAAGGCTTTTGACATGGTTGACTGAGATTTCTTGCTTGATGTGCTAGCTGCTCTTAATCTTCCCAGAATCATGGTCAAATGGATTAGAGAATGCATTACAACTCCTAAGTTTTCTATCGATATTAATGGGGAATTAGCAGGGTATTTCTCAAGTAGTAGAGGTCTTAGACAAAGAGACCCAATGTCTCCTTATTTATTTGTCATTGTTATGGATGTGCTGTCAAGAATTCTTGATCAAGGCATTCAAGATAAGCCTCAGTTTAAATATCATTGGAGATACAAAAGACAAAAGATTTCCCAACTTTGCTTTGCTGATGACTTAATCATGTTATGCCATGGGGACCCCAAATCTGTCGAAGTTCTTAAAAAGGCGCTTGATAAATTCCAAATGTTATTTGGTTTAAAGGCCAATCCTTCCAAAAGACACATCTTCTTTTCAGGTGTTCTTGATGAGCAACAACAATTGATGGCTGGGTGTTTCGATTTTCCCATTGGCTGACTGCCTTTGAATTATCTTGGATCCCTATTGTTACAACTAAGCTTAAGATGCATGACTGCTCTTTGTTACTTGAGAAAGTGGATTCAAGGATTATTTCATGGGTTAATAGAGTTCTGTCTTATGCTGGGAGACTTTAGCTCATTAAATCTGTGTTATGTAGCATTCAGGTGTATTGGGCTAGTCATCTTATGCTTCCTAAGAAGGTCCTCCATGCTATTGATCAGAAACTAAGGTTTTTTTTATGGTTTGGAACTGATATGAAAACAAAGGGGGCCAAAGTTGCTTGGAGTGAGGTATGTGTACCTATAAAGGAAATGGGCTTAGGATTGAAAGATTTAAGGGTATGGAATAAAGCCCTCATGCTCAAGCATCTTTGGCACTTAATTTCTGACGAGAACAACACTTGGACCAGCTGGATCAAGGACCACCATCTTAGAGGCAAGAGCATTTGGGAAGCCAAATCATCACAAGTTTGCTCATAGAACTAGAGGAAGCTGCTGCAAGTCAGGGAATTAGCAAGACCTTTCATTCTTTATGTTATTGAAAATGGTAGGAGTACATTTCTCTGGCATGATTTTTGGCATCCTAACGGTCATCTCCTTCTTAAATGGGGTCCTAGAGTGATTTATGATTCTGGGATCCCTAAGAATGCCAAGGTTGCCTCCATTATCCAAGGTAACTAGTGGAGGTGGCCTTTAGTCAATCCTAGAAACTTTAGATTTATTGAGGAGATCATCTCTACTATGCCCAATTACTCCCCAAAAATGGAACAAAGGATGAGTTCAAATGGCTTCCCCAAGTAAATGGAAAATTCTCTACTTCTTCAGCTTGGAATCTAATCAGGACCACCAAACCAGAGGTGTTGTGGTACCATCTTATTTGGTTCAATCTATGCATTTCTAGATCCAGCTTTATCCTTTGGCTTGCTATTAGGTGTAGACTGGCCACAAAGGATAGAATCCATAGTTTTACACCCAATAGTGGAACTACTTGTGTGCTTTGTAGAGCTGATCAAGAATCCCACTCGCATCTTTTCTTTGAATGATCTTACTCAGAGAGTGTTTGGAGGAATGTCATCAGTAAGTGTGATTGGCTATGGTGATCATCTTCTTGGCAGAGTCTCATTGAGGCTATGTCCACCCAATGGAATGGCAAGAATCTGCAGAATTCCATTAGAAAACTTTGTCTTGCTGTCACTGTTTTTGTTTTATGAGGTGAAAGAAATCATAGGATTTTCACCAATGAGTATAAAGATCCAGGTACTACCCAGTTAATTGTCTTGAATATGGTGAGAAGTAGGCTCCTCTCAATCAAAATCAAGGACACTCCTCTTCATAGACTGACTGCTTCTCCTTGGCAATTTCCAGGCTCTTGTTTTTGCACATAATGTAATTTTTGTTCGCTGTTTATAGGCTGTGTAGTCTGTGAGGAGTGCAAAATGCAGCCCTCCCAGACTTCCTCTACCTACTTTTGATGGAATGACTGCAGGCTGTTGCTGTCTTCTGCATGTTTCTTTGTTTTGGTCTTTTCCCTTAGGGGTTGAATGATGCTCTGTACATTTGCTTTTCATCAATACAGCCTCCTATTTATTTACCCAAAAAAAAAAAAGACTTTCATTCCACTTTCTAAAAGTACAAGTATTTCTTTCCTATGAACTTTTGCAAACGAGAGTTCAAGATTGGAATCTTGTAAGAAATAGGCCCATATGTGCCTTCTTTTAGTAGTTAATCGGACAAAGATGCAAGCTCCATTCGATCGGTTAAAGATTCTATTCATTCCCCTATTAAGTCAAGAGGGATCGAGATTCAAGTAATCGTAATTTCCTATCACTCATTCAAGCTAATTGCATTTCCTCAATTAATCTCTTCCAAATCGGTTTGGCACTTTGATATTGACTTAACTCTTCTGATATTAAATTAATTGTCATGTGTTTAAAAGGAATTCATCGTATTGAGATGGGAGAATTTACTGCTAAAAAAATGAATTCTTTATATAAATTCTAGTGTGCCCGTGGTCTTTTTTGACAGTTGGGATACAAAGAGATTCTTTTTTATTTTTATTTTTTATCAGAACAAATAGAGTAAGCATTTCATTAAGTAGGAAAATTGAGATTACAGTCAGTCAAAAGAAAAGCCGTAAGCTCAGGAGGGGGGAGCCTAACCAATTCAAGGAGAGCGAATTGTTTAACATAGTGGCTACAACCCAATGCGCAGCCTTGTTACAGGCTCTAGACTTGTGTAAAAAGTTAGGGTTGTATAACCTAGCATAATGTCTAATGCCTTCAATGATAACATTAACTTTCCATGGAGGAACATCCTTAGTGGAGCAAAGCTTGATTATGTTGAGACAGTCATTCATGATAGTGACGTTAGTGATCAGCAAGGAGGCAAGCTTGTCTTATTGCCTCTGCTTCAGAAAGGATACTAGACACTGCTAGGAAGGATTTTGCACTGCCAAACTCAAGTTCTCCCCTTTCCTTGAAAATAATCACTCCACATGCAGCCATGGCTAAGATAGCCTTAAAAGCTCCAAGTGACGTGATTACTTAGAGAATGAGAGGAAAAGCATATTGGATGGATCCATCACACTTTGTTCTTCAAGCCTCTTGAGGGTTTTTTTTTGGGAGGGGTTCTGCATTGTGCCCTTGGAATCAAGCAAATATTCAAGATATTAGCATAACTCAAGATTTATGTGACTTTTGATGATGCATAAAATAGTTTCGTGCAAAATCAACAATCGAATGTGTGATAAGATGTAGTTAATGGACAATAAATAAAGCAGTCAATAACAGTAATATAAATATTAAGTCAACAGACAGATATATAGTAGTTCGGTCTAGGTGACCAACTCCATTCTCAAAAAGGACAACGGTGGCTGGAGTGTCTTTATTGATGAAGTAAGGTGAACAAGAGAGAAGACAATTGTTAGCACCAGGAGAGATACAATAGCTAGGAGAGAGAAATTATGTGTAGAGTGGTGTAGAGGTAGAGCTCAATGTGTCCTCTCATGTAGAGAGGACTTACAATTTAAAGGCACAGAACCTTGGTTGAGGCGGTGACGTAAGGGTGAAAGTACTAGATCTTCGGAGAGGATAACTACAAAAGATAAGTACAATTAAGGTAGCCTTGATCCTCGAGGGTGTGTATCCTGATGACTTCTCCCCATGTGCTAAAATTCTTATTGGACTCCTTGGAACTTGGACTTAACCTGCCTTTTAGTTGACTTTGGCTTGTAGGATTTATTGGGCCTGACCTAGTTGGAATTAGGCTCGTCAATTTTGATAGAAGAGTAATGTTGCACAAATTAATGGGCCTTTGATCAAATGGTATTGTTTACCTTATGAAAGCTTTGCTTTCTTGAGGTCAAGGGTTTAAGTCCCCCCCAACATCCTCCTCTCCTCTCTAAAAAAATGTTACACAATTTAAATGAAATTCAAAAATTGCAAATCCAATACATATCATTACTTGTGTCACAGGGTTAAATTTCTCCCCAAATTTTTGTCTCGTGATGGCACTAAGATCCAACATTTAGTCTCAGCCAAACACTCAGAATGCACACAAAATGCACATAGAACAGAAAATGGACAGTAAGTAAACACACAGGCAAGGCATACAGAATTTACAAGAAACAACCAAACCTTTCTTTCTCAGTAAAGTATAAGAAACTCAACCTTGGGGTCTGTTTACAAAAACGTGTCAACCTTTCTTGTTGCACAGACCCCAAACACCCTATTTATAATATTCAGGGTGGCAGTTACAAGCCCAACTGCCTAGGCACATGTCTGTAATTCAAATACTACCAGAGGTCTACTGTGATTGGATGACAGGGAAGTTATAACTGGTGTTTACATGCTTGTCTGAATCTGATAGAGATCTCACATGCAATGCACTTGCCAGAAAACTGTCCAGAATTACCACCATCTATAGAGTACATGCCCAACTTCCTCACATGTTGTGCATGTGTCAGGAGCCCTCAGCATCCGAATTGCATTACATTCGTGCCTAACCATGGCCCAGCCCATGGCTCATTATTCAAGCTAGCATCGCCCCACAATTCAAGCCGCCCGTTTCCTTGCTTGCATGCTGACTTGTGCCCACGTGCATGGAATGCCTCCCTCAGTCATGCATGAGACTTCTGTCATTTTGGCTAAGGCATGAGTGCCTATGAGCGAGGCTATCTGATGCCAAATGATGCCAATGGCTAAGTGGGTAACAAACCACTCCCACCAGAAGAGCTCGATGTCCTCGTCGAGAGGTTGTCTCAATACTACTTAATCTGTTTCTCAAATTGCCAAAAAGTCACATCTCGCTCCCAACTTGCTTCTACCACGGAACCCCCTT